ATATATATAAATATTTCAAATTTAGTTATTGTACATGATTTGCCTTTGTAAATGCATTTTTTCTTGTCTCATCTGTTTGTGTGATTTATGTGACTAAGCTGCTATCACACTGAGGTTTCCCTTCAGGCTTAATGAAGTACTTTATCACAGAAGGCTGTTCAACATACTGAATAATATCAGTCTAATAATCAGATTAAATTGCCATTTTATCATTTTGTTTTGGTTTGCCATGACTATTCAGTAGTAGACAAATTTCTGTTGCCTTTTGGTTCCTGACAATAAAGTTTCTATTCTGTTCTATTCTATTCTAGTAACTGACATCAGTCCCAGCCACGTCATTTTGAGTTGACTCGTAAGCTGTAGTAGCAGCTGTTAGGAACTGTTAACATGATTTTCTTTGGCTATTTTTCCAGCTCTGGCACAGTGATTGTTTTTCCAACTGGAGAAATACACTGATCAGGGGCGTCGGTGGCTTAGTGGTAGAGCAGGTGCCCCCTGTACAAGGCTGTTGCCGCAGCGGCCCAGGTTCAACTCCAGCCTGTGGCCCTTTGCTGCATGTCACTCCCTCTCTCTCTCCCCCTTTCACACTTGTCTGTCCTTTCGATTAAGGGCTTAAAAAAAAAAAAAAAATGCCCCAAAAAATATCTTAAAAAAAAAAAATAAAAAAAAAGAAAGAAAGAAAAGAAATACACTGATCAGCCAAAACATTAAAACCACTGGTGGGTGAAGTGAATAACATTGATCATCTTGTTACAGTGAAATGTTCTGCTGGGAAACCTCTGGGCCTGTCAGCCTGGATGCTACTTGATGTGCTTCACCCACCCAAACACTGTTGCAGACCAAGTAAACCCCCTTATGGCAACAGCACTGGTAGAAGGTTGTGCCGCCTCCCCCCCGCCCCCCCCAAGGGCCGGCACACCATGCCACTCTACAAAATCTGCTCGAGAATGACCCAATGTATGGGACAAAGAGCTCAAGGCATTAACTTGGCCTTCAAATACCCTAGATCCCAATCTGATCGAACATTTGAGGGACGTGCTGTTACCCCACAGGTACCCCCGATCCACTGTGGGTGCTCCTTGGACCGGACTTGGCTCTCACCTGTTAAGGCATGGACACGAGACGTCTGGAGGGTGTCCTTTGGGGTGTGAGGTGGGGTACCAGCATGTCCCCAAGATGTTTGATCAGATGGGGATCTGGGGAGTTTGGAGGCCAGCTCGATGCCTTGAGCTCTTTGCCTCGTTCCTCAGACAATTCCTGAGCAGTTTTTGTGGCGTGGCGTGGCGTGGCGTATTGTCCTGTTGGGGGGCCACTGTTACTGAGGAGTGCCATTGTCATGAGGGGGGGTACCTGGTCTGCACTGGTGTTTAGATGGGTGTAGTGTGTCAGGTGGACTCCACGTGAATATCAGAGCCCAAGGTTTCCCAACAGAACATTGCATTGTAACAAGATGACCAATGTTGTTCACTGCGCCAGTGGTTTGAATGTTTTGGCTGACTGGTGTAGATGTCAGTAAGCACCGAACCAGATCTATTTGATGTAGGTAGTGATTCAGATGTTTGGAGCCAGGCCAGTTCAACCAATAGTTACCTAAATAAAAAGAAAAACTGGCTTCTGGATACATCAGATCAACTTTCCTGACGACATAAGCAAAACCAACAACCACTATCAGATTCTGACTATTATCTTCTTAATTCTTATTCTAAAAAGCCTGAAAAGGCCAAACCTACTAAACCCAGTGAGAGAGGCACAGACAAAAATATAAAAACAGAAATTGGTCACTTTAAGTAATTGCTATTGTCTAGACTCAATACTTACCATTAGAGTGATTAAATAATCACGGCCTTTACATTTTCACCATTTAAGATTCAAGAACTCTTTTGAAAATCAGATTAATTGTTCTGAGATACCAGAAATAAAAAAAAGTTTGTCTGACACAAACTTTTAACTTCCCCCATCTTCACCCAATGCTTCTGTATTCATCATTTAGAAAACTATATCTATGAGGAACGTGTTGAACTGTTTGTGTCAGGAGCAACTAACACCAGTAAAATATGACAACGCTGCAGTGTTTCCTCTGCAAATGACTTGTGGCAGTGGAGTTTGGGAATAATGTGAATTTTTATACATCTGTCACAATTTATTTTCTGCAGCAAAATGCAGCAATACATTTCTTTTACATTACAAAAAAACTGTTAAATTCCCATTTTTTTCTTCTTCATCGTTGGTGGTTACATTGTTGTGAATATAAACAAAATTTTCTGCCATGCGTTCTGCTACTGTCAGTTAGTCATGGCTCGCAATATTCGCCTGCAGCAGCATTTGACATAATCCCAATGACAACCAGCCTCTCATCTATTCAAAGGGCTGTCCGCTCCAAACGATCTGCTCATTTAAAACCTAATGAAATTATTGAGGCTCAGTGGAATGTCTCGCCGCCACGGTGGCCACGGTGAAGATTTGATTACGCATTAAACCATGCATCCCTGTTCTCATCAGCTCACTCAGACCGTCTAATGCTCCGATGTATGTTTCATGCTCAGGACTTACCTGATTCCCAGCACATGGATGGCTTTAAATCCTGGAAGTTTGTCAAAAACATGCTGCATCTGTAATAAGAAAAAGTACTTTTTATTAATACCTAAACTATCAGTCAAGATGCTTCTCATCACCATCGCCCTACCTCTGCAGAAGCCAATGTAATTAACTCTGAGCTGTCAAACAGGAGCTTGTTAATAACTTGGCAGGGTGCCAATATGTTGTAGGGGGAAAAAAGGGACTGTATGAATGGGAAACCCTCATTGATATCTATCTTTGGGACAGTTAAGCACCTGGACACTCTTATGACATAATCGTCTTTACAGGCTCCGTCAGGTAACATCCTGCTGTGAATCGCGTGCAACTCTAAATGATCACAATGCTTTTCTTAATAGTCTTTCAGTGAGGAAAAAACATTGAAGGACTTCACTTCTCAACATGACTCTTCTGTTTTAGGAGCATGAAAAAAAAGAAACACTGGCAGAAAGAGTGGATTGTGGGTAATCTCGTCCCTTTCTCTGGCCCTGACCTTATGGCCTGCTGGTGTAAGCTTCTTTACTATCAGGACAGAGTGAAGAGACTCATGTGGACTGAGGCACAGGTGGTGACTGACATGGTGGAATGAAGGGAGCTGACAGAAGACAATGCTCCTAACATTACACAGAAGAGGGAGGAAAATACTGTTAATACTGCTGTTTTGACCTGTACAAGTTACTGTATGATAACCTGGCAGTTATGTTTCATATCATCTCTTCTATACTACCTCTTTACAGTATGTGCTATATATAAACTTTAAAAGTAGATGCATATTTTACAACTTACGTACTTTTTTTTATTGTTTTGTACAAACACAAAATTGTACAATACATGACAAACTTGAATTAATCTGTCACTTTTAAATGCCACTACTAATTAAACTGTTGTTTGGAATGTTTTCTAAGATTTTATTTCTTTCTGCAGCTGTGTCACCACCACCTGTGGTCTATCTCAATGTTTTTAACGATCGAATCTGCTTCAAATTTTGACTTGAACAGGTGGTTACTTTTCTTCCAATCACCTTGTATGGACCTCAAACATTTCCAAAATACTGTTATTAGAGTTCGTACGTAAAGCCTTGATAAAAGACAGATGAGGCTAGATTAGATGTAAACATGTCCAGACCATGGAATAAGAGAAAGAATACAACAGTCCTACCTGGTCCTGCAGGTGGTGAGCCAGGTCGATGTATTGAGGGGAGTCTGGATCGTCCAGCAGCTCTCTGTAACCCGGATCCACCAGGTCAATAGTGAACTCCACAATCTGCTGCACTGGACTCTCAGGGACCACGTTAGGAAGCTCTGAGTCCTTCAGGAAAATAAACACAAGTCAATGTCGAGGAAACACTGGAAAGAAGAAAGTGATCTGGTCTGTGAAAAACAAATTTCACTTATGGAAATGCGCTGTGTTGACTTTAGAACACGGCAAATCAGATTTAGCCTTGTCTTTTTGGTAAAAGGCAATCAAAGAGAGGCCAAGTTGGTAAAGGCACTGTATGTTTACTGTGTGTATGTTTACTGATGTCACTTTCAAAGTTCTTGAGTGGAGCTGCCAACTCAGGTGAAAATGTTCCATAGGTGCATCAATATGAACAACCTCTTTCACGTTGTTATATTATTTTCACACTGTCATTTGATAAATTGTTAATATAAAAATATATTAATATATTAAGTGAAAGTAGATCAGCACCAAAATCAAATTTAAAAGCAGACAAAAGAAAATGTTTAGTTTTGCTTCTTTTTTTTGGTGGTTAATGGTTTCTAATCAAACAAAAAGAAAGCAAAACTCTACTTGCAGACATTTGTGGATTAAATGCAGCGTAAACACAAATCACAGCATGATCTGTCATTTACTTGGCAATCATGTCTCTTTCTGAAACAAAAACAGCCTGTTTTTGAAATTCCACTGGAAGCCAATGGAGTTGACAAGGATACCTGAGTTTGTTAAAGAAAGAAAGAGGAAAGGACAGTCAGAAAGAACCAGAAAAAAGGACTAAGGGAAAAAATGGGAAAAAAGGAAGAAAAGAAAGCTACAGGGTTCCCACGCATTTTTACTAATGAACTTTCAAAACTTTCTATAACTTTTCCACAATATTTTACCCAATTTCCCAGATATATCAGTAGGTTAAAATTGGTTGGACCTATATAGAAATACAGTCATACATTAAACACATACTTTCCAGGCGTTTAGGGATAAGCAAACTGTCATGCTTGCAAACTTTATTCATTAATTCGACATTCCTGTGGCCAGCTACCTTTATATGTCAACAGCCCAGACCAACACATGTAGATGCAGCAGACTCCAACAAAAGATATTTATCCATCAGTAGTGACTGTCGCTGGCATCATTTAGTGATTTACCATACTGATAGTGAATATTCATAAATCTCATGTGCCTCAAATCTCAGTGTGAGACCCTTAGTCACCCCTCTAAACTGCAGCTTTTAGGCATTTTCTTTTGTCTGTCCTTATGTAACAACATGTTTCTTTCCCTCAAAAGGGGGCATGGCCTTGGCAATGACCCGATGACAGTCAGGTCTATGGCTACAACCGGTCACTCAGCACAGCACTAGATTTTAGAATTAGCAATACAAGGAATGTATTACATGTAATGTTAGAAATAGTTTGGGATTTGTATGAACATATTTTGAACAATAGCCAGAACAATGTATGTTTAAAACATTTCTAAACCATTTCCAGGCATGGAAAACAGATTTTTTCATGACCGTAGGAATCCTCAAGGTAGAAAAAAAAGATGTTAGTAATATTTGATGATTTCATTGCTTGTGTGGAGTTTTAAAAATGTATTAGCAAAACAACCAATAACTCCGGTCATCAAATAAAAATAGTGCAGTAAAAATAGCACAACAATGTTTCCCTCTCATATATAATAGATGAAAAAGTCTCCCACAATTAAAATACAGTAAAACTGTTCAAAGGAAAAGTAGTTAATAGCCATAGTAGGAAATGTTCTTTCCACCTCAACATCAGGACACTAAGATGTCTAAAATGTCCTGAAAGGACTCCTGGGTGCACCTCATAGCACATATAGATAGAAATGTCAGTCAGGGTGTGAATCATGACTCCTCAGCGTCATATTCAATATTCAGTTTTCAGTTTGGCTCAAGAATGAGATGTATGGGGTGAAAAGAGTAATAACGTGCTCTTATAGAGTGAGTGAGGGAAATTATTCAGGTAATTCCAGAGGACAGTCAGAGATTTCAGTCCTGTTTGACAAAATGACAGTGTTTTCACCAAACTGCATCTGGAACATCTTTAGAGGAATTCAATGTCAAAACTAAGGTGAGGCTTTTTACCTGCTCTGTACGAACTAAAATCAACTCCTCCTGTACAAACCCAATCATTCACAGTCAGGCGAAAACAGTAATTATCTGTGGAAGGATGTAATGTACTGCTGCAACCATCTGCAGCTGGAACAAACACACAGGAAAAGCCTGGACTAAACTTTAGAGCAGAAACAGCTCCAGCTAGGCATCCTTGTTACCTGCAGCAGGCAAACTGTCCTCACTGTTAGAAAGCTGTTGGTGAGGCTAGAGAACAAACTGCACAGACCCCATCCTGTGTGGGGAAGGTCACATGATCAATCCCTCAGATAGAGGTATGAAGGCCAAGTACAATTGTTTTACCTGGACAACTTTTTTGTTTACTTCCACTTTTTTTTAAAGGTTATTACAAAGTTTGCTTTCCAAAGTTACTATTGTTACATTTTTTGGCATTTCCTGACTTCTAGGTAGACACTGGTTTCTGTTCATTTGCCAAAAAAATGAACTTTACTGCTTTAGCTCAGTAATCTACAGTGGTAGAAAAGCATGCTCTGTTAGGTAAAATGTATCCTGTGATTATCAAACAAACTCCAGCCTGATGTCTCACCTGCAGAGCAGGAATGTGTCTGTTTCTATTCTCCCTAATTTTTAAAACCTCTGAAGGCATCTTTGTCCCCAACATGGTAATGTGCTGCTCTGATTAAACACTGCGAAGAGGGGAGTTGTAGCTAACAATTATTTTCATTATCCATTAATCTGCTGGTTATTTTCTCAATTCAACTAGTTAAAGTGTCTTAAAACTGTAAAATCATTCACAGTTTCTCAAAGACCACAGTAACAACCTAATTAAAAGACCTACAGTCTAAAACCTAGAGATACTCAATTTCATGTCCTGTAGTGAAGAAACAAAATAAAAGTCTGTGTTGCTCTTCTTAAATGCTAAGGTTACAGTCTAAACACAGCAGCTTTCTGAGCAGAAAACCACTTCTTAGGGACGACGATAAGCTGAGAAAATCCACAAAAAGGTAAGTGGACGAAAATCTCTGTCTGGTCCACACATACCATCACTGTGTCTTTGAGCAAGGCACATAATCCACTTAACTGCTCCTGTGGAGCTGCTCATGTGTGGACAGTAGATTAGTGCAACTGGGAAAATGGTCAACAGTCATGTCAAGTAAAAATTATTTGTAGTTAATGGGCTAAAATATTTTTTAAATAATATATATCTTAGGCTGAGAGGCCATGGATTGTAATTCACTTTTACTAAAATAAACTTTACATCATTCATTTAACCTCTACTGATGTTTAATTTCAGAAGAGGAAGTGCTTGTACTTGAGTGTGACATTTCCAGCCCTCACAGGAGCTACAGTGCCCTGTCAAAAACCTCCTTGAGCTCCTGCCTCCTTTGACTTGTTGCTGTAGATAAGAGCGTCGACTAAATACCTAAAATGTAAATGTAAGTGCTTGCTGGTACCTCCTCGACCTCTTCGGCTGGCTGGGTCTGCTCGAGGCCGGGGCTTGGAGAGGCACTCACAGGGCTGAGGAGGACAGTGGTGGTGCTCACTGTAACCGCTGTGGCCGCTGATGGGGCGATAGTCTGAACCTCTGCACCTGAGGCAACATTAGAGTGACTTTTAATCACCAAGTACATGAACAGGGATACTGTGAGTCCAGCTGTCTGCAGAGTATATTCTCATATCTCATATCTGTCAGGATGCACTGGATTCATTTAAAGTTAATAAGAGTCACATCAAGGACTTACAGTCTCACAGTTCATTGTGAGAAACATAACACAAGGACAAGACTGAACTTACATGCAATAATAACTTTATACCAGCCCGCGTTCTATATAAAGCACGGTCATGTAGTAGTAAACACAAAATCAATATACATTTCACACTTCATGGTACAAGGACAGAAATGTCATTACAGCACACATACTATGTCCAACAGCAGCAGATAATGACAATTCAATAAGAACATTATCAGATAATAATAATACCTGCTTTCTCGGGGATCCTCTGCGTCGGTGCCAGAGTCACTACTCTTCTGGAGAAGGAAACAAAAGTATCATAAGATCACTAATTTCAGTATTCATGAAACACATTCACGTTATTCTGAATGTGACACTTTGGATCCTTGAGATCTTCCGGCTTTGTGCATGTTATTTCTGTTTTCCCAGTAACTGTCAGTCACTTGTAAAAACTTTTTAAAGGCTCTATAAATTAAATAATGTTTGACTGGGCTACCCGTCTTACAGGGCTTGAGGTTATTGTAGCATGTGTCCTCTCCCCTCTCTCTTTCCCCTCATTTCCTGTCATCTTTCTACCATCAGCTCTCAGCATGTTCAAAAATGTCACAGCAACAGCGGCTCAGCGTCATGTTCACATTATCTATATGCATGTAGACAGAGAGTCACTGACTGAGGATGTGATTATCTGTCACCCCTACCGTGATGGAGGCCGCCTGTCTCTCATCCTGCTCATCCTCTGTAAACAAAGCAGAGAACAATAATTTACGCATGTGTCAGACACAAACAAACTGTCACTCTACACATTTTAACACTTAGGCAATAATTGTCCACATGATTATCTTGTTTGTGATGTCATGTGTCAGTGACTGCTGCTGCTGCTCTCATTGGTAGCCATTTGTTTTTAGATTGATGACTGATTGAACACCTGATTAACTCATTTGTTCACTTGTGTTTTCTTTTTTTCTTCTTTAACCCTGGACTTGAGTTGCTGTAAATGCAATTATGTGCAAAGTGCTTGTTGTGTGTCGTGGTTTAAAAAAAAAAAAAATCGCTGCAGCCATCTCTGAGGTCTTGAGGGAGTTTTACATTGCTTCAGGCCATTAAAACCCATTAAATCTTCACAGTGTACATTTAAAAATGAGTGTGAATGTTAATGAGAAAAAAAAATCTGAGTTTTTTTTAAAGGATCAGTTCAACCAAATCCCACAATGTATTTATTTTTCTCTAGCATGCAGACAGTCTTGTTTTATACCTGACAACAATGTCCAGTATATTAATAATTTATAGATAGACCTTTGTAATACTGCCCCCTAAACAGCCTAAATTTTTGATGTCATGGATTCAACAAGGAGCTGAAAATATTCCTCAGAATTTCTTCTCTATATCCGTGGCCATAAGGGAGGCACATGGTTAGCAACAATATTCAGGTGCACTGTGGCATTTACACCATGCTCATGTTTTATCAAGAAGCCTAACGTGTGCCAAGAAAACATCCCCAACACTATCACATACATATCAAATACATATTTGTCACAGTAGAAATAAAGATTCCTCAGACCAGGCAAAGTTTTCTATATCGTCTTCTGTCTTGTACTGTGTGGTCTTCCAGTTTGTCTACCTCAAAGTTCCACATGTTATGTGATCAGAGGTGGTCTTCTGCAGAGCACTGTCGTAATGTCTGGTCATTTGAGTTCCTGTGGCCTTCCTGTCAGCTTGAACCAGTCTGGCCATTCTCCTCTGATCCATCTCATTAAAAAGGTGTTTTCACCCACTGGTTGTTTATTTTTCCACACTGTTCTCTGTAAACTTTAAGAAAAGTTGTGGTGAAAATACCAGAAGGTCAGTAGTATCTGAGACACTCAAACCACCAACACTCAAAGTCACTTAGATCACATTTCTTCCCCATTCAGATATTTTGTCCAAACAACTAAACCTTTTCATTCATTTTAAGCACTGATTTGCTGCCACATGGCTGATTATTCATTCATTCATTTTCTGTAGCTGCTTATTCTGTTCAAGGTTGCAGGGGGCTGGAGCTGCCCCCAGCTGACATTATGGGCAAGACAGGTCATCCGACTAGGGCTGACACATAAAGAAAGACAACCACTCATGTTCACATTCACACCTACTGGAAAAATGGAGATAAAACACCATGTAATGTTACCTGCCTGGACCAGCATCTTATTCTGCTAACTTCTCACTACAGCAACATTAGCAACTCTGTTTTAACAATGTTGAAAAAACTTGCATGCAAGCTGAAATTTAAACCTACTGTTCTGTCGGGAGATGCAATGACTTAAACCAATGGTGAGTAAGAAAAAGTATAAATAGTACATCAGGGTCCGACATTAACAGTTGCCCGAATGCCCGGGGCAAGTAAAAATAGCCGGCGGGCCAGCAGACCCTGTGCAGACATGCCCGATCGGGCAAGCAGCACCGACTTGGACACACACACACATACCGGACAGCCTCTCAGTCCTTAGCCACTAATGTTAGCTCATGTAAAACACAGGTACCACACAGAAACTTTTACAAAGGGTCATAATGTGCTTCTAGTGACTGTCAAATCTCGGAGAGCATGCTGCCTGATCTCATGGGACAAAGATCCTCTGAGAAGAAAGACGGTTCACTCTGCTCTGTCGCCAGGAACAAACTGGGAGGCGAAGATCCTCTCTGAGGAAGAGGGTTCGTTTTGCTGCAGGGTTCACCAAAATGTTTTTTTCTTTTAATAAACTGAACACACATTAAAGAACACACAAGATCCTGTAGAGAATTAATACATATAATACAATACAATAAACATTGTCAAATTAAATGAAGGAAGAGGATTGTTTTAAAGGCAAATAAAATATTGGGGAGTTATGTAAAAATATACATAGAGACATATAAATAATTATATAATTAAAGATATGTAGGCTATGTTAGGTGGTCAGTGACCCTGACCACTGGCATTGGCAAAAGAACTGGAGTTGGTCCCCGGACGCTGCACTGCGGCTGCCCAGTGCTCCTAGTGTATACAGTAGGATGGGTCAAATGCAGAGGTCAGATTTCGTTTCAGTGTATGTAATGTGCTGAGAAAGAACAGTAAATAATCTTCTTCTAATAATAATTTCTTAATAACTAGGAGATAACAAAAGAATAAAGAGATTTCAAAGACTTAGAAAATAAGGGACATGAATCAAAACAACAAGAAACGAGATATATCCCCAGTCATGCACACCCAGTTTTAATAAACTCAATACTGTTTTTCAACACATATTGTTTTGTCTTCATTCAATGTAATTAGCACATATTGTTATTGCGCCATTGGTTTTGGCCTTGGTGCCCCAATAAATTTGTATTTATCAAAGGCCAAAGTGGCTTAGCCCTAAAAATTTCTTAATTCCAGGCCTGTAATCATGTATTTCCTCTCCTGTTTCTGTCCTCGGAGGGGCCAGTTGCAGTGTGCTGCTTTTTTATGTGCTGCTGCCTCCATTGGCTGAGCGTCTCTGCTGACGTAAGATATAAGTCATGAGCGAATATATGCACCACACAGCCAGAAAAAAAACCTCTTAGGCAGGGCAAGTAAGAATTTAGATGGGGCAAGTAGATTTGAGAAGTACTACGCCGGACCCTGTACATATTTGTTATTTGTTATGAATGGAGGAATGTCCGTTAGCTGCTAGGCTAATTTATGCAATGTAAACATGCTTGAGCTTATAGCGGGTGATTAAAAAAAAAACTACTGACATGTCTATGAACTGTTACAGTTTTTATTGAGCTGAATTTTACACCGTTGTAAAGTTTGCCTTCGGGGCTTTAAGCCAGATAACCCTTAAGTTTTATGAAAAAGATGATGGCTAGGGTTAAATGAAAATGTGTGTTCATAGAATCAGCATAAAGAAACTTACTGCACTTAAGCAGTTACAGTTATTTACATTATTTATGTGCTGTTTTTATCTTTTATGGCCTGAAGCAAAAAAGAAACAGATTCTCCTGTAATCGAATGTGTAAAAGGGGCAGATAATATTGTCTCATGTCGATGCTAACCACTGTACCACCATGCCGCCTCTGTGGGGCTGATTAGATATTTGTGTTCACCTGTACCTAATAAAGTGGCCACTGAGTATAAATGTTTCCTGTCTATTTGCCATTAAACGAGGCCACGTAGCAGCCCAACAGGCAGGACAGACAGTATTGATGAAAGATGATTAAAAACACAAGTGCTGGTCAACAAACTGAAATTTAGCAATCCCTGCCTGACAACAAGTTTGATTCTTGCAGGTCACACAATCTCCACTCTTATGTAAATGTCCTCAAGTGTCCTTTAGTTTAAAGGGGTGTGCAAAAAAGATGAAAAAAAGTCAGCTATAAATGTTCTCAAGTTGTATAAAAAAAATTCCATTTGTTATTGATGTACATATTTGCAGGACGCTTGGTAATCTCACATCCCTGGTAAAATGCCTAAATGTACTGCATGTCTACAGAGAGTGTTGACAGCTGATAGGTTGTGATGTGGCAAGCAGACTGCTCTGTAAGCCCGCTGTGGTTTTCTTACCCTGTGAATCATGCTCATGTGCTCCTCGGAGCTGCTGAAGTTTTTGGCGAGGTCGGAGATACACAGCGACTCGTGTTGACACTTGTGAACCCATTTCTGGTACTCTGTCGTCCCCGGGATCCTGTCGAAGAAGATCCTGAACGCCTCCCACACAGCCTCCTGACAAACTGACCAAACAAACACATAAACACAGCACAGCCTCTTCGACTTTCAGCACTAAACACACTGCTGCGAGAAGCTCCTCTACACAGTAACAGTCTGTTCTGCACTGCAAATATAAGCGTCAGAAATGAGACAGATTCCAGTTTGGTGCCTGATAACTGGTTCGGTGTTTCTGAACATTATTTCCAACTGAGATCTGACTGTCAAATTTTGTTTGTTTGTTAGCTGGATATCTTTATAAGTTGCCAATATTTTTGTTCTGGGGAAAGTGTTGTGGTTTTTGCATGTTTATCTCAACCTTCAGTATTTCCAAATGCAGTTTATTTATAAGAATCCCTACAGTCCTACAGAATGTAACTATGACTATGATACATGATATACAATGAAGCCGGTAACATGACGTGCTGCATTAGAAGGCGATACCTGCTACAGTAAACACATAAATCATTATATCGTCTTACCATTTGAATAACTGTCTGGTTTGGGGCCAATCTACTCTCAATCAATTGATCAGTATCACTTTATTCTTGCTTTAAAGTCCATTTTAGACAAAGATAAAAGAAAAAAATAGGGTGATTAAAAAAAGAGAAAGATAAAAGAAGACAATAGATGAGAAGAAGAAAAAGCTATTTGCATATTCACATATCAGTGGAGATAAAAAGCTAATGTGCAGAACAGAATTAAGCTGTCAAAGTTTGTTTTATCATCCTGCAGATGAGAACTCTCTCTGACATTTGCAACACAGAGCAAACTTCAATCCAATAAGGGACATTAACACCATGTGAAACAGCCCTGTGATTCATAAATACTGTGTATATACAGAGTCAGAAAGCAGTGTCAGATGTAAAGGTTTTGTTTCTGTGGTGAAAAATAAACTCCAGACAGTTGAAACCACACAGCTCGTCACTTTTCTGCGTTGGAGAGTTTTGACAGAAACAGACTTGTAAGAGACAACTTGTGTGGAGGATGTGAATGAGTCCACGGCTCACTTCATCAGTCCCGAGTGGTCACACTGATGGGTCAGCTGGCTCCAGTGTTGATCATGTACCTATAACATCCTGAGGTCAGACCCGGTCTAGCACCTCTGTCACACATCATTTCCCTCCGCTCTCTTCCTCACCGTCACCTGTTTCTACTGTACTCTGATGTGGGCTACATATTTGCCCCCAACATTTTAAACAGCAGATTTTAGCCATTTTATTCACATGGTGACAGAGCTCCATTGTAAATAGAATTTGGTTTGGCCTATCATTTCATTTTCTTGTCAAAACTTTGTGTGCATGATAGTGACAATGTACGCAGAGTCCAAGATGAAATCTTAGACTTCTTTGTGTTCTATTTTGTGTTCTTGTCACACATCTGGTTATCAATGGTCAAAGCTCAAACAGTAAATGTGGTATTTTACTTGTAATGTTTCTTGGCAAAGGAAAAAGTTTGAGCTTCACCCAATCATGATGAGGTGATGGGAGGATGGTGAGTTTGATTGACTGACAATGAGTTTGACATCATATAAAAAGAGAAACTAAATTTTTGTTGTAAGTTACAGAAGTCTCTCTTGTTTCTGTCAGATCACCTCAGCCTGTTGCAATGACCCAGATAATTCAGTTAAGACTTGGACTAGGACCTTATGAGATAGCCACAGTGGAGCGGGGGCAGAAAAGCAGCTGGAGAGAGATACAGCAACCGTCCCTGACTGGATTCAAACTGGGTCTTATCCCCTGGACCCCTGCAGAACAAACTTCTGACTCACTGTCATGGCCGAAACACATGGGGTACGGCCGCAATGTGTCACGCAAGCAGAGCAGATTGAGGTTTTTTTGCCTGCTGTACAGACTCTATCATTGCAGCGTGTGGTTGCTGCCAGCTTCAAAATGTGTGTATTGAGTTTTGCCAAATGTTAATGCAGTTATTTATGCAGGGTTTGGAAACGTAGGCTATACAAACTGGTACTGAATCAATTAACTGGATCGTTTTAACTACAGTATGAATTGATTTGATTTATTTCAATGTGAAATATAAAAACACACACAATGTTGCTCTGCTGCTTCGCATTGCCTCTGACACAATGAGGTATTCACTTTAATCACTTTTAAACAGATTGTACTCGATTTTTACACAGTCTTATGTAGTATTTACCTGTTGGTGGGCTGTGGAGCCCTGCGTACAGAAAAATAAATTCTGGCTGTCAGTTTCATAACGTCATTAACAAACATGGATTTCCATTGGTCAAATGCTAATTTCTGACACGAAATTTAGGGAGAAACAACACAACTCAGAAGGTTTTTCCAGTTGCATGAAACTACATTTGGGTTGCAAGAAACAACACAGAAGCATTTAACTACCTTCTTGGTTTTTGCCAAATATCTACATGGTGTGGATAAAGTTTTACAGTCGTATTTTATGTTGTTTATATTGTTGTACTGAAGTCAAACTAACTGACTAACTCACTATCAAGCTGAGGCTAAAATGTCCAAAATTGTAGTAAATGCTTTAGAAAATGAGATGGATAAATGTGGTTTTGACAGTTAATCAATTCTTCAGTTTGTGCTCCTATCTAAAGGCTCTTAAGTTTTTACATCAATTTCCAACCTGCCAGCAAGCTGTCGGTTTTCAGGTGTTTCTGTAACGGTAGACAGCCTTCTCATCACCTGGTGATAAAGTTGTGAGCCATAAATAATTTTGAATGTTTTGAAAACTGTCACTGTTTTTGCATTCACCAGTGCTCCAACATTTGAGTCAGCTGTCAAACCTTTGTAATGGTAGGGATTTCAAAACTAGACACTTTTCTGTTTTCTTTTCTCCAGGGTTTGAATTTCTAAATGTTGGATGTTTGATGTCTGGACGTCCTTGACTGCAATTTTACAAGTTGGTCTCTGTTGTGCAGCTCAATTTCCAACAATGCAATAACTCTAAATCAAACTGAACTTTCTTAATTTTCTTAATCCTACAATACTTGAGCAATGGAAATCTTCCAAGCATAAGGTAAGAAACCAATCAATCAGAACCTAATGTTTGCTTTGGAAAATTGTAGTTAAATAAATGTTGCGTGTCCCTGTTTAAAATCTGAGGTGTCAGCCCAAGGAGAGCAGATTTATGACAGCTGTTGGTAACCAAGACAACCTGGAAAAACCCAGGAAATAAAAGAAGATGAGCACAACAGTCTGCATTATCACAAAATACTGCTGATATGCCCTTAAGCAAGGCAAGAGTTTGGTGCTTAGGGGCTGTAAAAGACAGCTGTTACACTGGGCAGGTAACAGGCATAAATGTCTCTGTAACTGTATGAATGTTAAGTCCAGGTGATGCTTGTTGAATCAAGTACCTCTGAGCTGGTAGTACGCCTGATGGCTGGCGAGCACTTCATTGATGCTCTCTTGGGGGCAGATTCTCACTCCAGAGTGTAGAAACACAGACCTCCTGGGTCGACGTCTGTCCACTTCAAATCCTGACCCTTCTGTTTGCGTGGACATTTTCAGCAGCTCCGCCAAACGTAGAGAGCCAACAGCCCCGGAGTCTAGCGTGACGCCACCCCCTGGATAAGAAAAAGACAAGAAATGATTCAGGGTCAGACTCACTCCAGACCAGATCCTAGTCTGATCCAAATCCTTGGCATTTGCTCAGAGCAACAGATGGGTTGTGTTTACTACAGAAGGACAATAATGTAGGCAACATTGAAGACAGTTAAAATTAGATTCAGTGTCATTTTGTGGAATTAGGCAATGCCATCTACTGTGTAAACCCCACCCTTCTGGTACAAAACACAGCGTCAAACAAAAGTATTTGGTGAATATCATTTGTCCTAAAATCAGTGTTGAAAGCATCGGATCAAAAGCAAATAAAATAGGAGTAAAAATTACACTTTCAATACATAAAAATTTACCAGCAAGCTGCTACAGCCCTGTGTAATGTGTTTTTCTTGATGCATGTAGTAAATGTTACATTAAATAATCAGTTATTTCAGCAATCAGCATTTATCAAGTTTAATCAGACTCCAAATGACAGCGTGATATCACTTCTGTCACCAAGCCTTACTCTGACAAGAATTATCCTGGTCAGAGCAGGCATTGTGCATTTATATGTAGAGCTGAGAACTGGGTCGATAACAGATTGAGTCTTTGTTTTTTTCAAGCAAAATGCCAAAACACTTCCTTCAGCTTCCCTAGTGTGAGGATTTTCTGTTCTCCCTGCTTCATATAATTGTAAACTGAATGTTCTGAGGTTTTGAACTGTTGTTAGAACAAAACAAGACATCACAATTTCACACTCTTATAAACTGAGATGGCCATTTCACATTAACTTCTGACATTTCGTGGACAAAACACAAATCAATTAATTGTTCCAAAATAAAAATGAATGGTACTTTTCCAGCCCCAAGTAAATGGCTCTTTGTTTTTTTGTCTTTGTTTGGTTTTAAATATTTTTAAATATTAAAAAACAAGGTAATATTTTTCTTTTATAACGATTGCAGCACTTCCCTTTTTTCTGTGTGTTTCTTTTGTCCCAGTTCACCAAACACATTTTAATCTTTTTCCAGCTGAAATACCAAACACTGCTCCTTAAAGCTTTTCAAAAGTTATGATTTGGTGCTTTTTCTTTGTCACACAGGAACTCACCTCCTCTGAACATCAGAATAGCGAGCTCTCTTTGAATCTCTCATTTTATTCTGGTTCTTAATTTGGAGTAATGCTCTAGCCTTACTTTTTAAGTTTTAATCATCAGTTTTCACAATACTTTTTCACCAGGTACTTCATAGTTGTATCATTTAATCTTGCAAAATGTTATTCATTGTTATTTATCTTGTCTTTATTTTTATTTATACATTTATTTTATGTTGTTTCAATTTTGCTATGTAAAGTACTTTGGACTACATCTTTGCATGCAAGGTGCTATTGCGCTGAATTGAGTATAAACTAAATGTTTTGTGGTTTTGGAACAAATGAAAATGAAATGAAACAAGTAAGTTGAATAAGTCATCTTGGGCTGTGGGACATTATTGCAGCCATTTTCTGATATTCAAGAGGCAAAATGATTAATCATTTCATCAGGTAAATAACTGGTAAATTGATCAATATGAAAATAATTAGTGTCATCAGAGAAGTGCTGTATCACGACAATGACAATGAGGGAATGGTTTGCTATGAAGTTACAGTAGAGGTTAAAAACATGATTGATTGAGATGACGATGAGAAGTGATTTAACTGACACCTGTAATGAATGTTGAACTTTCTGGACCACTGCTGTATAAGTTGCCAAACTATGTCAATAAATCATAAAATCTATTAGAAAATAAATAAATATATAAAAGGTTAAACCTTTTAAAAAACTGGCAGACCATGATAATGAATATGGTGAACAGAATATTCATTTTGTATTAGTTTATTTGGGTCATTAAGTTTAAAGGTTATTAGTATATTTCAGCTATCAATTTTATTACCTCGATTTTTGGTACCATATTTCAAATCAATTTATTTGTGGATAAAGGCAGACTGTGTCAATTACTACATCTGGACAACTCATTTATTTCATTCAGACGGACGAGAAATTCTACATACCAGAAACATTTTCTTGAATCACTCATATCACAATATGCTTGTACAAACTGTTCTCAAACAAGGCTACATGTTTTTGATCTTAATTTCTAATTAACTTTGAAGGACTCACAAGCAGGAGCTCATTCTCTCTCCTTTTTTTATTAACAGAGACGTATCTTAAGTATTTTCCAACGTCTCTATGCAGGAGTACCTTGTTTATTGTACAGTGCAGTTTCTTCTTGAAGAACACAATACCCTTCAGATGTACAAGGACATAAAATAAGTTTTAAAAAAAAGATTAAAACAGTAAGTTCACTGGTGAAAACAGGCAAAACCACAAGCAGTAAGTTTAATACATTTACAGCAGTCTCAATGGAAACTGGTGTGACTTCAATTTACATCATTTACTTGATTTTAACTCACTTTTTAACTTCACTTGAAAACACTTGCATCCAGACTGAGGCCATTAAAATGATTGAACTCTTTTATGTGTCCTTCACTATGTCTCTGTTTTGTGTTATTTGTGGCCATGGGCAGAGTGGAGTTTAGCATTATATATCTACTTGCCAGGGTTCGGGGGTTCGCTCTCCCTCCAATGCCCACTCGTACTAAAAATAAAAGCACTCACTGTACTTGAAGGGTGGAATAAATTCATGCACCACAACAACAGTGTACTGTATGTATATGTATTTGATCACACAATCTAGCAGATATATTTAGGACGGCGTTAGTCAACGTGGGTGCAGCCAGCTTATTGATGCTTTTAGAATAAACATAAGAAATGCTTTAAAGTGAAGGTGAATGTCACAGGCAGGGTGTTTTGTTTTATTTATAATATTATGTGGAGACATTTTAGATTTTGTTATACAGAAAAGTGATAACCTCCTTCTCTTTTGTCGTGTTTATGGCTTTTTTTCCAACAAATAAGTCTGGAGCGCGCTGTAATTCAAATTGTCAAGCTGTCACCAAGCTGGCAATAAATCTACTAAACTGTGCTATTATCCGCTTTCCGTTTTCATTTGCATTGTGGACATGTTTTCACGTATTCGTGGCCCGTCATAAATACGGATTTCTCTTTTGCTGCGGGTTCAGAATAAGCCAAAGACAAAGGATTTACTCAACTTCTTGTTGCATTATCATGCATTTAAACAGCCTCCTTGTGTCCTGGGGGGAAGTAGTGACAGCGTCCAACACCTTAGTGATTTCACAGCCAAGTACTTATGCAATCGTAATAGGCTTTGCTTTGCATTGTGACCAAGTTTAGTACTTGTACAGATAGTCTTCAAATCCTTGTATCTAACTGCTCTTATCTACTGAGAACTTTATTCTTTTCACAAAGAATAAAAGTGTGAGAGCACGTGACTTCTTTTTTAAGTTGTAAAGGACATGAAGTGTCGAGGCTCAAAGGATTGTGGCTTTGCGAACAAAACAAGGCTTACCTTTAATTCCAGCAGCTTGTGGAGCAAGGACGAACAGCAGTACAAGTCCAAATTCCCACGGCATTGTGGAAGAAGAGTTCCCAAAAATATGCGCGTCAAAGTAAGTCCAGCAGGGTGAGGGGAGGTGGGAGGGGGGGTTGGTGGCGTCCTCTAGCTCAGGTGGAGCTCATGGTTGCAGTTGGGTTGCGGGGTGAGTTTGCATGGAGATGTCGGATCATTTAGGGCCCTGAGAGTCCTGCTGAAACACTCCTAATGAACACTCCAGGATGTGCATCTGATGGAGGCTGGCGTTCCTCTTCTCCACGGGAACAGTGGGACAGTGGGAGCTGTAAGTGTGGCAAGAGTGACGAGGTTAAAAAAGTAGGCACCGTTTCGGGAATAATCTGTTTATCTACTGCTCAGACATAATCCGTCTTTACCCCACGGCCCTCGCAGCACTAGCGTCATCCTGTTAGTGGCTTTCTGGGGGCATCTGTCAGCCCCGGTGACCAGTTTGTTCAGGACACCCGCCTCCCGGCCCACCCTGACACCTGACACTGGTGTTTCCCTGGTGTTTTTATTCTTAGCAAGCAGAGGATGTGGCCTCACACTCCATTGAAACCAATAAAACTCACATTATTCGACAGTGTTGACAGCTCCTGTAAACTGCAAGGCTTGTACTTATCCAGTAAAGTAACATCCTCATCTCACCACCAGTCTGACAGTCCATACTGGTCTGGGTTGTCCTTACAAGCACACCACCCTGGAGGCACGTGCGTTCAGACTAAAGCTGACCAGGCCATTTATATCATTACCTATTGTTATACCTGCTGGTTTTAAATTTTTGTGGTATCTTCAAGGTTCATGTCATTGCTTTCACTAATCTGTCATTTTTTTGTTATTTTAATTGTCATTGTCTAAAAAAGGTTTTAAATTTATAAAGGCTATGGGTATAATCCTGTTATGTTTTGCTGCAGAGGCTGTCACGACACACTGTGACATTGCAGTCTGGCTCTTAGTAATAAATGAATACTTAAATCCTCTGTTGACCGTACTTTCATGCTTTTGTTAGAAATCCCATAAGTCCAAAAGCTTATGCCATCTCAGGCTTCAAGTCCCAGAGGAAGCTTTAGACAAAACATGTTTGTTACAGAAGTAAAGAAACCTTTAAGATAAATCCAGCTCTTGAAGTATGTGCAAAAAAATGTATTGTTTAGTTTCAAGATTAGTTTGAGATCAGTAGGAAGCTCTACAGGTATGCACAAGGGAAATGTAACTACATAATATACATACTTGTACATTGTTGAATACTTCAAAAGTTTATACACAAAGTTTTGTTCTTATATTTTGATGATGTTGTATTTTATTTTATGTGCAGTCATATTTTTCTCTTTTAACTTCTACCTAAAAACGATCAGTATCTTATGATTTATATGTTTACATGTCCCAACTGGCCAAATAAAACTGTTTAGTTTTCTAATTAATATTCTTTGTTTATTTATTGCTTCTACTGTTTGTTTAATTTCATATTCTAAGATAAAATAAACCTTTTTTGACCCCCTGGGCAATTTGGTAATTGCAGCATCACAAAGCCAAAAATTAGTAGAGATACATAGAGAAAGTAAAAGAAAGTTTACTTTTATTTCTTTTGTATAAGCAAATTATTTCCTTTTTTCTGCAGCAATTGCCTAAATTACAATAATTTTCATTATTTCTTAATTTGCTAGTAACGAATAAATAATGAATAGCAATTCATTTAGTTTTGTTCAACAGTCCAAAATCTAAAAATACTTATTTTACTTGAATATCATAGAAGACTAAAAAAGCTAATATTTGTGGTTGAGAAGCTGAAAACAGATTGTTTGGTGTGCAATGATTCTAGCAATCGATTATCAAAATAGCTAGTTTTCTGTAATTTTCTGTAATTAAATGCAGTTTGCTGATTACCTAAAACACTATTTGTACATTTAACCCGTATAGCTCTACAACAAGATGAACCAAACAATCTAAAACTTTGGAATACATCACATTTTTCCACATCTCAACATGCACTCAGACCCAGAGGAGGATGATGAAATGTGATGGAAGTTTAAGGTCTGAGGGGCCAGTGTGTCTCTTTGAGGATTTGAAGTAGAAATAAGACTGTGGATTTACTCTCTTCACAAGAGGACACACCACTGGGTGCCTCTCTTGTTGCTTTCCACAGAGAAAATGGACATTCTATTGCTAGTGTTATTGGTTTTTCTGTGTTTTTTGATACCCTGAGACTCTGTGAAGTGAAGATGAACACCACCAAGCCCCCTTTTTGATCTGAACAAGCAGGGGAAAGTTGAAGGTATTAACTTATTGTAGGTCAGCTGAAGCTCAGACATCACCAAGTTTGGCTATAGCAAAAGAAGATTAGAAATTGCTTTTAATCTCTAATCCAGTGGCGGGTTGTCTGTCCAAAGCTGTCCTGTTTGTTTTACTCCCTCCTGCGTTGAACAGCAGCAGCAGCAGTTCTAGTATTAGTAGTAGAAGTTGTTGTTGTAGCAGTAGGATTAGTTGTAACAGCAGTCGTAAAAGTTACTAGCCGCACTAGCTGCAGGTGGTTGTGTCACTACTAGTGATAGCAGCAGTAGTTGTGGTAGTATCTGAACTAGGTGCAGCAGCAGCAGTAGCACCCATGGTAGTAGTCGTAGGAGCAGTTAAAAATGTAGGCCTATTAGAATTAGCAGAACTTGCTGTAGGGAGTCTGCTAGTGTTAGCAGCACCTTATGTACCAACAGTGAAAGCAGTACTTATACAAGTAGGTGTACTAGTTGTATTTGAAGTATGTGCAGCAGCAGCAACAAAAATGTTTGTATTGGTTGTAGTAGTATTACTGCTAGTAGTCGCAGTCAAAGCAGGAGCAGCAGAAGCAGTAGTACGTGTTAGTAGTAACATTTTTAGTCATAGTAGTAGTGGTAGTAATACTAGAGGCACAGTAGTTGTGGTGGTGGTAGTAGTTGTAATAGTAATAGTTATAACAGCAGATGTAGCAGAACTTCCAGTGATAGGAGTAACACTGGTTGTATTAGTAGTAGTGGTGGAAATACTAAATGCAGTAGCTCTTGTGGTACAGTGCAGACTTCTTACTACTGTTGAGGTAGAAGTATTAGTAATAGCAGCAGCCTTATTAGTAATATTAACAGTAGTGGTGATAATGCACTCTACAGTAGTAGTTGTAGTTCTGGTAGTAGAAATAGCAGTGGTAGTAGCATTTGCCATAGTATGGTAGTTCTGATAGTAGAACTAGCCATACTTTAGGTGGAAGCAGCATGGGTCTTTGTGGTACTTTTACAAAATGTGGTTCTTCATACTGTTCTTTAGTGTTTGTGGCTATCTAAAGACATGTTTCCTGTTTTTTTTTTTTTTTGTCTGTTTGTATTTTCGAAAACAAAGTAGCCCTAATTAAAATTGGAAGTTCTATGACTTAAATATTGTCTAAAATGTATGTAAAGCAATTACACCCCAAAATTCAAATCAATCACTTCAGATAAATTAACAATTAATTACTCAACTTTTTCTTCACATCAGTCTTAGTTATACTTTTGGTTTTTGTGCTTTGTCACGCATCTGGGTGTTCTTTATGGTATAATTAGTAGTACATTTATTATAGTTATGGTCCTTTGTGATGCATTGTTCAGTACTCTTTGGAGCTTTGTCTACAATAAGTTTTGTGGTACTTAATGGTGCATTAAGGTCTTGGTTCTTAGTGATAACACTTTGCTTTTGGCATTGTCTGCCAATCTCTCCTCTCTCTCCCTCTCGGCTGTTTTATCTTACAAAGCAGAAAACCTCTTATGGACACACTAAATCTGTCTTTGGTTATCTAATATTAAATTAAATAAAGCATTTTAAAAATCTGCTGTCTGGGCTCAAACTACAACAGTTTGACATTTGATTAAATACTTAAAAATTCACAGCTGATAGCCACAAAGGCATTTGACACAGCGGAAATGAAAAGGAAGTGATATATATTTGACGTTGCAGGTAGTTTAATAAAATGAGCAAATTCATTTAGTATTCAAATGAACGTCCCCTGTGCTCCCTGCTGGGATGAAACATATTTGGACACATTAAGTCTCAATATCAAGCTCAAGGGCTCAATGGGGAAATCAAACCTGTAAACTTTGTTTACATTGCATTTATTAGCTTAAAAAAAAAAAAACAATACTTCTGTTTTCCCAGTTTTCCCTATTTGTCAACAGAGCACCTATTTGCAGGTGAAATGACTATGAGGGCTTTTCTCCCGGTGGATCGTACTATGTTGAAATCCACGAGAATGACAGATAATCCAGTTAATTTAGTCCATCAAGCCTCTCTGTTTAACCTTTCACCGCTAAAAATAATCCTTCTGACACCCCCGCAGCCGTCTCCTCCGGCAACAACACAGGTTACAAGACAAAATCCTGTTTCTGAGCTCAACCTGCTGTGGATCAAGTATGTGTATTTAAAGAATAATCCATTTACAATACATTCTTAAGATAAAACTAATTTCAAACTTAATCAATAAATCAGTACTGACTGATTATTTTTTACTTTTTTTTTTTAACACATTTTTTAGCTTCACACAGGACATTGGCAGTGATATGGCAACATGCTTCTCAACGAGTGAACATGTTTTTGGTTTGATTTGTTCATTTTTTAGCAGGATGTATAAAATGCTAATAATCATCATTTAAAATTTCATACCCTTAAACATTCTCGTATGTGATTTTTTTTTTCTTTAAAAAGTAAAAATGCAAATAATATTGTGAGGATGTTGACATAATGCAGCGTAAGCTACCGAAAAATCAAACTTGTGTGCTCTTGTGACCATATATATTATAAAAAGTTATTAAAAGTTTAGAATGAAATATGGTGTAACATTGTGATTAGTTTTGGGGGCAATTTTGTTATATTTTTGCAAGGTTTTTTTTGTCATTTTCTCATGAACAAACCCCAATGCATTTACAAATACTGATAGCCTAAATAAAGTCTAAACATCCCCTCGTATTAATTCTTAAAGAGGACTGCGCAGCCTTGGTGGATGTACAGTAGGTGATCTCTCTACTTTGTAGTTTCATAATCTTTTGCTGTATTTTTAGTTTCTATTGGTGAAAATAAAACAGCACCCGAAGTTAGACGACAAACTAGACAGTCTGATTGGGAGGGGTTGTGCATAGTTTTCGTCTGTTTCAGCATATGGCATCATATGTGGAGTCCTGCTGTCCTCTCACCGTGTGAGTCAGTATATTCTGTTTTATCTACCATTTTAACTCTGCAGCAACAAAACCAAGAGACAACTTCCTTCACTTTCAGTAGACGTTGCGAAGATGAAGTT